GGGGTGATATCGCCCAGATTAAGAACCACTGGTCTAGACTTTCAGTTGAATGACCCCTGCCAGGTTTCATCAAAAGGTTTTGTCACTATGATATCCAGTCTCTAAAGTTATGAGTTTGAGCTATAACAGTATGTCATCCTTGGTATCTTGAGTTTTTCCTGTGTGGCCTTGTTCCTGTTGTATTTGGCTAAAACTGTATCTGATGGTTGCTAGTGTCCCATTGCCAAATGAGTATCTTGTGTTTCAGAGCTGAGGGGTGAGGATTGAGATTCTTGTGTTGCAGAATTAAATGATTAGACTTTCAGTCTGCCAAGAGTCAGGAATTTTTTTATGTCCTTGTTCTCCTTTCTAGTGAATAGATGAATCTTAGAACAAAATGAACATTTTAGAATGAAATTCATATTTTATATTTGCATTACAAATCTGTTTGGAATCAGATCTGTATCTAGTGTTAGATTTAGAAGCTTCTCTTCCTCATGACCAGTCTAAATATTTTGATTGCTATAAGATTGTTGTACATTATTTTGTTTTCCAACTACATTATAATTTTATGTCAATGCTCCCTCTGGTGTCTGCAACTATATAAACATTCTTTGCATACAACTGCAGAAAAATTATTAAGAATACGAGAAAATAAGTATGATTTATTATTTACTTTATCATGAATACTGCACACTGTGGTGTTGAGTTTCTCAGTTCACTAGAACTGCTGAATTCAGAATGGGATAGGTAGGAATTTTGTCAGCATTAAAAGAAGCTAACTACTGATTACATGTTTGTTTCAATAGTATTGCTGGTTTAGCTATTTTCAATTAAAATACTATAGAACTAATTATGGCTTCAATTTGGTAAAATTGTCCTATGGATAGAAGGACTTCTACAAGCAGCAGGACACTTTTAATCCAACAAAACTGATGGGAAGGAGGTGATCTTCCCTGATTCTTTTTCTTTTTGTAGTTCCCGGTGTTAACAGAAAATCTGCTCTAAGGGATTGGGCCCCCCTTTGAAACAATGGTGATGTGCACTGTGAGCAACTAACAAAGAGGAACCAGAGAAGATCACACCCCTCATTTCCACCCACAGAAGTGTTGTGAGAGAAATTCTACTTGAAGATGGCACTGGTGGATAAAAACTCTTTTATATAGCCTCTTGATATCAGTGTTATTACAATATTTAATACAGCTTTGTTATCCTCAATAATGCGTATTTAATATTTTCTCTAGAGATGATGATATTATTTAGTAGTGCAACCCTTTGTATTTTTGGACTGCATCTCCCACAATTCTCCAGGAATTACCCACATAGAATATCATAGAGGTAACCTAGGAACACATCTCTGCAGGCTCCTTTTCTGGTTACTTCTCTGCTTTCTCTGTCCTGTTTCTGCTTTCAAAATAAGAAGCTGTCACAGTGCTACCTGGGAGTCATAGGTTTTCCAGGGAGTTGTAGTTTTTAGGGAGGTGCCCTCTATAGAGCCTAATGGGCAATGAGACCAGAATTCTCAGGAATACATTTGTGAACCAGCAATGTGTCCACTGCAGCTCCTCTTTGTAGAGAAGTGTTACATGTGTGACATCTGAACTTGGGGTTATGACAGTTGCAAATTAGGTAAAAATTTAAAGTCAGCGACAAATTTTGATTTAAAGCAGGTTCACAATTCTGGTTTTTTTGGGCACGCTTAACCGTAACCCTAGGGCTGAAAAAAACAACAACCCTAAAATTAGTGCTATAGCAACCAGCCAAGGAGTTCAGTACTGTATACGTAAATATGACAGAGTTTAAAAACTATTTATTGTTGGATTGTTTAGATCATCAGAATGATTAACTGCAAAAGGGATAACTCTATCGATCTGTTAAAAACAAAAAACAATGTGCCATAAAAGGGTACCACTTTCAAAATATGAACTTCTGTAAACTATAGTCCACTTCATCCTGATAGTTTTATGTTATGAACTGATTCTGTATCATAGTGTATTTTTTATTATTTGATTAATTTATTGACTCCCCTTAATTAGAACAATGTAAACACTATA